ATACCCAGTTCCTAACCGGTTTAATGTAATTTATTGTATTCCTATCATTAATGTGATAAAGTACATTTGTCACACGCTTTTTTATTTAAAGATTTAAATTCTCATTTTGTTCTTAAAATACCTTTAAGATTATTTTAAATATGTAACTATTACATATATGAAGTCTTCTTCCTGATTAGATATGCAAAGTTGCCTAACCGCCATTAGACTCTTTTCACAGCCTCAGATTTCTTAAAAATAAATCTTTGACAATATCTATGTTATCAGTTGGCTTTATGGAGATGAAAAGGCAACTTGTTCTCGGTTTTAGGGGCCCTCGGAGGACACTCCGAACTAAAGTGTATTTTCATGCATACATATTATTTCGCCAAGAGAACGAGAAAAGTCATTCTGAATAAAGCAGCAGCCCCCGCTGCGCGAACTCATTTGGCCAACATATTGGACCGCCCCCTCAACCCCGTGACAGCCCCTTCCGTCCAGTTAGTTTCCAGGCAATGACAAGTGCACACACGCGCTGAATGGGCTATAGAAAATGCTTGTGCCATACTAGATAGCTGCTTTGCTTACTTTATTATTATGTATATTTTAATTTTGATTAGAATTTATTGCTCCATTTTCGGACGGACGGTCTCCGCCGGTTCGCATTACCCAACTGAAACTCAAAGCCAAGCGATGCCTGTGTCTGTATCTGTATCTATGAGATGTGTTGTGATGAGATGAGCTGAGATGGGATGGGATGGAATAGGATGAATATGAATCCAAGATCTGCCCGCCCACAACGATGCAGCCCAGTCAGCTGCTGTCCGTTCCCGCAAACCGTGAAATCGGATTCACAAGGTGGGTGGTGGGCGGTGGGCGGTAGGCGGTGGTTGGTGGGAGGAGGCGATGGCAGAGGCTTATGCTTTCCATTGCTCTACTAAATTAAACGTGGAATAACAATTGGTTTTTTCCGGGGCATTTCATTCAATGCTGCCCGCCGAGAGATGCCAGTGACTTTCCTTCATCGTTGTTGCCGTCTAAGGTTTTTCTCATCTTTTTAACTACTATATGAGCTGGATGGATGGTTGCTTCTTTACAATGGGAATGGCGTAAATTAGACGCGCTATGCTCGTAAATCTATTGTCATAAACGCCTACGAAAAGCGACGAGCAAATTGCTTCGAATGGCATCATAGACTAACTAGAGCCGCGGACTCCGACTTGGGTTCGGACCGAGTTTATACGATGGCTTATCGTGACTAGAATTTTCTTCTTTAGCTCATAATGCGGGTTTATACTATATTAATATTTTTCCTTTTATGGTACAAAAATCTAAAGACCTAAGGACCTAATTATATGATTTTAATATGTTGATGACCTTTCTATGTATTATTATCTATGTAGTAATGTAATAATTGGCAACTATTTCCCTTACCTTGGAATATATGCAATTTATCACGATACCTTTTCGTCGCATGACCATTGTAGGCAGACTGCCATTCATGGCGAGAAAAGACCCCCCGGGGTCAAAGGGGATGGCAGGGGGTCACACATTTTAATCAATGCTCAAGTACAACAGCCCGCTGTCAGCTTTATGGCTCATTCGCTCGCATATCGGGGCACTCGTGATGCGAGTGATTATGCTGCACTCGGTCTCGGACTTTCTGTCGCCGACTCTGATTTCTGTCGCCGTTTTGTCCGTTTTGCCAGGGCCCAGGTCATGAACGCCATTATGCAACCGAATCGAGGTCTGCAGCCCACTCGTCCGCCCACTAACGCTCCTTCCCCGCCACGCCCCCTCACTAACACCGCCCTGGGGGATTGCACTTGCCAATGGCAATTAGCGAACTGGCCAAAGTTTTAGCTGCTGGCTGCCAAATCAACTTGCACGTTCATCCCCTTTTGAAATGCAAAACGCGAGTGCAACTCCTACAGACTATAGTGAAACTTCCCGAGCTCGGACTTTTATATGCCAATAATACAGAACTGAACTTGAACCACATTTAACAATTCACTCTTTTGCAGGGCTTTTTTAACCATATAGTTATATATTTGTCTTTTATAATCTGCACTCTACGTTTATTTGGTGAAAATTTAGTTTTTTAATATTTCGTTTTAATCGAAATAATTTGCGATTTTCTTGTAATCTTGTAATCTAGAATTATGAGACCTTAAATTTAATATTTTTACAACTTTTGACCCTGACCCTTTTGACCCTTTCAAGATAAGAACCCAATTGTTCTATTTGAAATAAATTACACTAAGCTTGGAGTAGAGTTATCGCCAACTTGCAGATCCCTGACTCGGATTTGGACTTGTATCGGGGTCTCAGCACCCACAGTGGCAAGTTGACTTTGACACCATGCAAAGTGGTAAAGTCATCAGCGCTGCTCCGCTTATTGATTTTGACTAAAAGTCATAATTGGCAGTGGAACAGACCCTTTTTGTGTAGGAAACCCGCCGTAACCAAAATCCTTGGCCGCAGCCATAATTTGCATATTGATTTTTCAGTTTCCCAGAAAAGGAGGCGACACGTGGCGGGGGCGTGGCCGTGGCAGGTGAAACGCCAAATTGAGTTGTTCCGGGGAATATTTGGGGGTGACTGATCGATGGCTGGCTTGATATGCAATGACTGCGATATAGGACGCCGCCTGGACACGTCAATCTGACCGATTGGCCATAGGCTTGGCTGTGGAACCCTCGTCAGTTGACCATTTGTCAGCTGAACTCATTGACGAGCTCTGACGTACTCTCATTTTACATAAGTACATGCTCACGAGTCGATTCACATGGATACATATATTTCTATGGGTCACCCCGGCGATATCTGCTTAAAGTTTATAACTTTATCTATGTATCTCAACTTTCATTCCGGTTGCCAAGTGTTTTTTGTCGTGTCATTACATAACTTGGTGGCAGAACTTTTGGCGGACACAACTGGCCAACACGGTCACTTAACTCGGCATTTGTTTATTTATTTTGGGGCCCCCTCCCCGACTCCCAACTGCTGAGCCTGTAGCCAAGTGGATGACCCACAAATTGAGTTGGAGTTCATCTGGCCGAGACACTCCTTCAGCGGATATCACACGCGATTCGATAAGTTGATAAAACGTGAACGATTCCGAGCAGAAATCTGGATGGCCCCAGTGGATCGATAGGGGAGCAATTTTGCCACCCCCTCCGCTCCTAAAACCAGAGTCTGAAACTTTTTCCGCTGCCTTTTGCTGGCACGATGTTTTATATTGATTTTCCGTTGGATTATATGCACACCGAAAAAATCAGCCAAATTTCCTCTAGTAGAAAATGTAGTCCAAGCTTTTAAATATTGCTTTGAACTTTAAAGTAAGAAAATGTTTTACTATTTGTGTTTTTAGTATAATCTTTTACGATTAATCTTGTACACATGCTATATACCCATTTATTTTTGTGTTGATTATTTGAAATCGAAAGCTGTCTTCTTATCAGTCTTAGTAGTGCTAAAGTGTCTGGGAATTTGGGAATGCCAATATTATGATCTGTATTATCTGCACTTCAAACTATTGATTACTGATAAACTTTAATTAAGTTCTATGCAGCATTTTTCTCTCAGTTTACTACTTACTGACCAAGTGCGTATCCATGTGTTTTTTTTTGTATCTGTGTTGGCACCATTACGTGTAATTAAACTCGAGTTACGAGGGACCCGAAATAGACTCAAGGCCCGAAAAGGAAATTACTTGAGTTCTTAAGCCAGTCGTGGTGTCATTTTACCCCCATTCCCTGCCACTTTTCCTATAAATGTGTTAAGAAAGAATAGGAAAAGCTTGAAGTCTTGGGTAGACACATTCTTGCTTGGAATAGTGTATGGAACCCCGGTTTCTTAGTTTGAATATGGATTATTTAATATGAGAATATAGTTTCTCTAGTGGGCCACATTAGTTTACTCTGCTTCGGAGAGGTTTTTTAACTTAGCCTCGGGGGTTGTCCATATGACTGGATGCTGAATAATAGTCAATAAATTTTGGGGATGTGTTCTGCTGGAGTGACGTCATGCAAGGGCTCGATAAGACGGCATTTCCAAAATGCCAAAAGTTGTTGGCATGCCCTTTTTATCAAACGCTTTGTTTTCGTTATACAATTTATGTAGATTTTCGCTCGCTCTTTCTCTCTCACTCTCTGGGGCTCCTTTTTTCTCTTGCCACCCCCCTTTTGTGCCTTCCTATCTCCGTTGCTCTTTCTCCAACTGACACACATTCCGTTGCTCGCTGAATCTCCGAGCTGCGCAGCCAACCCCTAGGCAACCAACCCCCTCTCCATTCCGCTGCTCCAGTTTCGAAGTGCCCGCTCTCCATTCCGCTCTTCCCGCCCATTGCCTGCTTCACTTGTCACACTGCCATAGATTTTTCGGCTGGAAAGCTCTCCGCCACTGTGCACTTTTCGCACGAGAGGCAACACTTGCAAAAAAATAGCACCACATTTCAGCAACTCACCATAATAATTTAATTTTTATAAATTGACTTTAACGCCTTTAAATAAAATAAATATTTTATTATAAGTTAAATAGACCTAAAACAATGTACAGATCATTGTAAGATTAGTTTCCAAAATGTGTCTCAGATTCAGTCTTACGGAGCTGCTCTCAATTGCTTCATAGCTAGGGGCTTCAGCGGAAATATTAGTGATATTTCAGAACTTGCTGATAAGAATATTGAGAAATGAGTTCTCTTTTTTCGCTTCTCTACTTTCATTTATGTAATAATTCAAAACAAAATGGGTACAAATAAATTATCAAGTGTGACGATTGCTCTGAAACTGAGCTCAAAGCTATGAAATTCTCTAGGGCATAATTTTCTCCAAGTGTGGGAGAGCAGTGGGGCCGCAGCGTAACATCTGCTGGCGCTGGCGAAAGCTCTCACCGCGACGCCGACATACGCCGACGTCGCAGTCGGCAGAACGTTCTATCCGAGAATCGAGAAAGCTTAACCACTCGCGGCGCGCCGAAAAGTTTCAGTCGAACGTCGAATCCGAACTGGGAAGGTCCAACTGTGGCAGCAGCTATCTCGTCTCTTTGTCGGGTGGTACAGTACAGCTTAGCTCCCCGCCGCCCGCCCGCCCCCTCGGCGCTGGTGTGTGCTCCGCTGCTCTGCTTACACAATAACTGTGCATCGATTGAGTCCAGCAAGAAGAGGAAGCAGCAGGACTAACTCTCGTTCGACAAAAGGATTACGTTTAGAAAGCAAACGTGTGTGATCAGTATTTGTTGTCTTTGTCTCGTTCCAACGCGAATCGAATCGGTTTTTTAGTGCTGAAAACAAGTTCAATACTGCTAAACGGGGTAGTTTTCTGCGAAAGCCCCCAAAACAGAATTCGCAACGCCAAGCGCAAAAATTGTGTAATAGCACCCAAACGTGTAAAAGGTAGAAAAAACGAAAAAAAGAAACCAAGAACTTTCCATGTCTGCTCAACTGCAGCGCCCACCGACCCACCGAACCGCCTAACACCCCATTAGGGGCGTCGAGAAAACGACAACGTCCTTGTACGAAATCGATTTTTCCAAAACTTCATGCCTGCCGTAATGGATATATACATTTGTAACCATCTGAAGAGAGCACAGATCGAAAAGAACTGTATGTTGAGGCATTTTCTCTGGGCAATGGGAAAAATGCATATTTCAAACGGATTTGACTGTGTGCAAGTGATCTAGAGTGATTTAATATAAGTGGTAGAGAGAGAGAATGCAGAAATAATGTTTTGCCTTCTTTTTGATTTGGCATTCAATTTGGCGTTCATGGCAAGCCAAACGCATGTCCGTCCGTCTTTTTTTGTCCGCCCGTCTGTCCGTTTCCTCCGCGTCGCTTTCGTCTGACGTACTATTGTGGCAATGAAATCGTTTAGATTCAATTGACGCGATTTACATTTTGGAATAGCAGTAATTTCCTGGCCACCCCACACGGACGAGTGGATATAGCAATATAAAGCTTTGGGCCCCCGCTGGCGATTTCATAATTCCGCACACACAGCATAAAAGAGGGGCAGAAAAAAGTCTTGGAATATTTCGAGTATTTTCCTGCCACTCTACGAACTTGCGCCCCTAACGGGTTTCTCTCTCTGCGCTGTTTACCATTAAGCTCGCTCACTTTCGGAATTCGATTTCTTTCTCTCTGTCTTTCTATTTGCCATGTGCCGTTATTCGGCATCCTGGAAACTGCAACCCGACTGCATTTCCACACTTCCATTGCTCACTTCCAATATCTTCCCGTGACTCCGTGGCCTTCCAGCGGTCCACTTGCTGCTCCACCGCCTCGTCCTTCCAGCGCCCGCGTATCCTGTGGATTGTTGCATAAGCATGATTCGTTTTAACCATTTTTTCGCTTCTTTTTAATATTGCCCTTTTCTAACTTTTCTCATTTCAGTTGTTTTATTTTATTTTCCCGTTTTTATTTGTTACTCGTTTTTTATTTGCCCTTCGTCGTTTGCATTTTTGTTTGTTGATCGCTTAACTGTCTCACCTCTAATAAGTTTAAACAAGAATCCGCAGCCATTATGAGTGCTCAGGTGGGTAATCAAAGCTGACGAGCTCAAAAACATTCCCCCTCCCCATATTTACGTATTTACTTCAATCATTTATAATTTATATTGACCGTTGTGGGCATCATTAATTTAAGTTAAATTTTACCTTAAGTTCCCATTATCTCGAGGTCGGGGTTATATAACCTGTCTTCTGTCTTATAAGAGAGAAAGATAAGATAAGAAATTGAACCCAAAAGGTCTTGAAAAAAGAAACAGGGGCTTGTTTTTTAAAAACAGAGCATGAACAACGTGCGAAAATTAAGCAGACAATTAGCGGGGAAGTGTTAATAATGTTTCAATTTAAAAATCCGGGAATAGATATAATTATCAGCGAGTCAAGCTCATCTGCCTTAACAGCGAGGAGCAGTATATAAGGTTCACAAAAACAAGTCGAGTTAACAGATAACTGGCGAGTGAAAATGCATTTCTCAGAGGCTAGATACCAGGCACGATCTGTTATCATGCCCTGAAACTGGTTTTGGTTTCGTTTTCGGGTGCTCGGGGAAATCAAGCCTAGGAAAACAGTTTCGATTTCCGAGTCGAATGCATTGTATTCTATTAATGCCAACCGGACACCTACCCCTTACACCTGCTCGCCTGAGCCGCTTCAATCTGGTTTGAAACTGGTTAAAGCTGAGACTTGCACTCACCTGCCGGCAAATGCACCTTCGAAACGAATCGAAAGCAATGTGCCGATGTGCGATGGCGACAATTTGTTCGGCTTAATTCACCCGTTTTCGGCTACGCCCGCAGCTTTACACGTTTCCCAGATACTTTTGCATTGATTGAACAATTAGCGCGTCAATTCGGTGCACCGCTCTTTCCCCACTTCCCCGACGACTTGTTGTAAATTGATATTCAAGTTCAAATGCCAAATGGTTTGCGGCGAAATGTGCGCAAACCGTTCTGTTCTGGCGGGGAAGCAGCTGGAGCGCAGCCACAGATACATTTGTATCTGTTCGCCTAATTGGCTCGCTGGCAGTTGCCAGTTCGCAGTTCGCAGTTCTCAATTTTCATTTTGCTATTTTCCATTTCGCTGGCTTATGTAAGCTTTTCTGTGGCTGGCCGGCCATTGTCGCATTTTGATTTATATATACATTTATCGCCTCGATCTCCATCCTGGACCCCAAACCCAAAATCAAATCCAAAACCAGACCCTTGTTTCCACATGCTGTGCAACTTGGCATTGTTTCGGATCAATTGAAGCATGAAAAGCGCGATTAAGTTGAATTAATTTGTATAGGAAAATCGGAATTAGCGCCATTGTGGGGAAACCGGGCGCGTTCCGCCCACCAAAGTCACGGCTAACAATTGTTTTGCACTTCCTATGTAGGTCTAGCATGTAAGCTTAAGTTATCTTTAAGGCGCCTTCTAACCCATTTTAATATCTAAACTTTAATTCACCTACCAGATTGTCTAGAAGTAGAGAGGGAATCTTAGAACGAGGGAAACCAGCGACGCAGAGATAAAAGATACGAACGCCGCCGAGCAGGCAGATCGATAGTTTTTTGAACACTTGCCACAGTGCGTAAGCCAAAAAGTAGAGAAACCTTTCAGTGCCATTTCCCAGTAGGCACGATTCTCGATTCGATTTATTTCATGCTGGCGTCGCGTCCTCAATTGAACCAAAAAACCTGAAAGCAAAAGCACATATAATGAAAATAAATAAATCAAGACACGCCATGCCGAAAAGGCAAAGCCAAACAAAGCGTAAGATTTTCGAATATAGTCGAATATACTCGTAAGTTGGCTGCCATGTGAGTGCGACAGGTTTGCGTTCTCGCCTCTCCCCTCGCCATAGCATTTATTAGTGTATACATACTTTTCTCTCGAGACATTTGTATTTTTAATTAATTTGATTTGATTTGATTTCTTTCGACCCCTCAGTTTGCATGGCCAAACAAACCGTAGTCTTGTGTTTATATTGCATATCATTTGAGTTCTTTTTCGCTGACGGGTGCGCTCTTCGCCTCTTTTGTTTGTTTTTTAAAAATTAATAATGGAGCGCACCATGAATGAGTCATGACGCACTGCAAATAACGCTCAATGATCGTCGATGGGGTCGAATTTTGGCTACCACTTGCTGGAAAGTCTTTCTACTGGAAATCTATGCATAACACATGATTCATTGTCCTTTGGCAACCCCACAAAAGTTTCCCATTTGCTGAATCATCAAAACAAATCGGGTGTTGCCAGGCCAACAAAACCGAAAACCATTGAAACGCCTAAAGTTTTAGTTCAGAATTACTGTATGCATCATAACCTATAATTTTAATTGTTATCATAAGTATATTTTTAGTATATCTGGTTCATCCAAAATATCATATTCTGTTTTTAGACCCTTGCGTATTATAATGTATACCTAACAGAATGCTAAGGGTAAAGCTTGGGTATCGGCTAACCCTGATAAAGTGAAAACCACAAAATGATAATTAGAAAGGAGTATCGTAAAATCTTAATATAAATATAAAGTTTTAAGGATACGTTTTGGTCAGAAAATATTTAAGTTCTTGACTGCCCTTATGAATCAGAGCTAAAACTATTCCACCTTCCGTTAAAGTACATTGTTATACTGACATTTTCTAGTGAAAAAATTGTTTCTATTATATAAGTGCATATATCTTTATCACTTTATCAGAGGTGGTTAATATTCATCTTTAATTTATACTGTAGTCATATACATAGTGTACGTCTTGCATTTGTCTATGCTCGTTTTTCGTTTTGTTCGATTTTTGATTTTGATCTCTTCCTCCTCAAATACGTTATTTTGTTCGCCCATCATCGACATCATCAATCAAACACCACCCAACAACCAATCGACCCACCAACCCAAAAAAACCCAAACCTTCATGCGCGAAGCATGGGAGAGCGGACTCTTATCGAGTCGCCACGGTTATAGCCACCGATGACGACAATCGCACAGCCGATGGCCAGTACAAGGTAAATCGAATTTTCCTTACTCACACACATATGTATCTCTCATCAGCCCTATTTATGTTTTTCACTTTTTACATACTCTGCTTTCCTTTCGATTTTGTGCGCTTTACTAACCCATTTCGTTCCCATCGATTTCCCTTTTCCCGGTCTATAATTGCACTTATTATTTATTATATTTGTTAAACTTGGGCATTTTTCCAATGGCATTTACCGAGTACGGTTGACATTTAGAGAGAACTGGCGAAATGTTTACAGCAGCTATAAATAGCTATGTTTTGCTATGTATAACGGTAGCCAATAATAATGCCATAAATATGGCCATTTCTAATTTTCTCAAAATATTTTCCATCCTCAATTTGCTAGCCACTCAAATATAGTTTTTTATTAAAGGAAATATTTTCTGGAATTTTGTAGTATCGATACAGTTTTTCGGCCGGCTTTCAGAAATTTTCCAAATTACCAGTACTTTAATTTGTTTGTTTTTTTGCCTTGATTACATGGCAACCCCAACAATGACGTCAGAGAGCCAAAAAACGTTGCGCGTGCTTTTCGAAAAAGAGAAACACTTATAGACTCTGTTAAAGATAGAATGCCAGACACTAAACAGCTGCTAAGACTATATATAATATAATATTCGAATCAATTTTATTTTATTTCGACGGTTTTTCTTTTTTGGCTAAATCTAAAGTTTTCGAGGTCATCTAAAGCATAGTAAATATATATTTATAGTTGCATTATAGGAAAAGTTAATTTTCATTCATTTTTTGTATTTCTTTTTGTTTGTATATGTAATATACGTATGTACAAAACGAATGTTTGTATAATTGCCTGTCGTTTTGTTTTGTGCACCTCAATTCATTTACGTGCTCTTCTCATTTCGATCGAGAGCGTCATTTAGCGCGCATTTTGCATGCCTTAGATTACTAGAGCTTTACGTATAGAGCAGTCGTTTTGAATATTCTCACGCTCGAACTCATTTCGAAATGGGTTCGCCCCCATTCGATAACATCCCTAACAGGTTCAGAAAAAATTTGAGAGGTAATAACGTTAAATGATCATGGGTAAGTAATTTTCTACGGTTTCAGGTAAAATTTGTTCCTAACTCTTATGGTATAAGGTGTACAGAGTACATTTTGAAGGTTTCTTGAATCCTAATCCTTCCAGTAAACTTCTCTCTTCTTCACTCTTTAACCAATCCCAAACACTTTGAGTAATATTAAACACCCTTCGCCTTTTCCAAGGCTTAACAAAGGCATGAAGTAAATCGAATTTGGTGTCGGTTTGTGGGTCTATCACTGCAGTACATCATAAACTTCGCCCACTAATATATTTTATTTGCATTGAACAGTCAAGACGCAAGATGCCGGCCAAAGTAAACAAAAAGGAGAATTTAGATGATCTCAAACAGGAGTTGGATATCGATTTTCATAAAATCTCTCCTGAGGAATTGTATCAGCGCTTTCAGACACATCCCGAGAATGTGAGTTTAGCCTGCGGTAGGTGGTATTAGATATGTGAACTGAACCGTCTCTGATCTCCTGCAGGGTCTAAGTCACGCCAAGGCCAAGGAGAACTTGGAGCGCGATGGTCCCAATGCGCTGACGCCACCCAAGCAGACACCCGAATGGGTGAAGTTCTGTAAGAACCTGTTCGGTGGCTTTGCCATGTTGCTGTGGATCGGTGCTATTCTCTGCTTCGTGGCCTATTCTATCCAGGCCAGCACCAGCGAGGAGCCGGCCGACGATAATTTGTATCTGGGTATTGTACTTTCCGCTGTCGTCATTGTGACGGGCATTTTCTCATACTATCAGGTGGGTAACTCCTTTAATCTGGGCAACTAAAGAACGGGTTACTAACGGTAATGTGTGTGTCCCGCAGGAATCGAAAAGTTCTAAGATCATGGAATCGTTCAAGAACATGGTACCCCAGTTCGCCACCGTCATCCGCGAGGGCGAGAAACTCACGCTGCGCGCTGAGGATCTCGTCCTGGGCGATGTCGTTGAGGTGAAGTTCGGCGACCGTATCCCCGCTGACATCCGCATCATCGAGGCGCGCACCTTCAAGGTGGACAACTCCTCGCTGACCGGCGAGTCGGAGCCGCAATCCCGCGGCGCAGAGTTCACCCATGAGAATCCGCTGGAGACCAAGAATCTGGCCTTCTTCTCCACCAACGCCGTCGAGGGCACTGCCAAGGGTGTGGTCATCAGCTGCGGTGATCACACTGTCATGGGCCGCATTGCTGGCCTTGCCTCCGGCCTGGACACTGGTGAGACGCCCATTGCCAAGGAGATCCACCATTTCATCCACCTGATTACCGGCGTGGCCGTGTTCCTTGGCGTCACCTTCTTCGTGATTGCCTTTATCTTGGGCTACCACTGGCTGGACGCTGTCATCTTCTTGATTGGCATCATCGTCGCCAACGTGCCCGAGGGCCTGCTGGCCACCGTCACCGTGTGCCTGACCCTCACCGCCAAACGTATGGCCTCCAAGAATTGTCTGGTAAAGAATCTGGAGGCCGTGGAGACCCTAGGTTCCACATCGACCATCTGCTCCGATAAGACCGGCACCCTCACCCAGAACCGCATGACGGTCGCTCACATGTGGTTCGACAACCAGATCATCGAGGCCGACACCACTGAGGATCAGTCGGGTGTTCAATACGATAGAACCAGCCCTGGATTCAAGGCGCTCTCTCGCATTGCCACTCTCTGTAACCGTGCCGAGTTCAAGGGAGGCCAAGATGGTGTGCCCATCCTCAAGAAGGAGGTCAGTGGAGATGCCTCCGAGGCCGCTCTGCTCAAGTGCATGGAACTGGCCCTTGGCGACGTAATGAATATTCGCAAGCGCAACAAGAAGATTGCCGAGGTGCCGTTCAACTCCACCAACAAGTACCAGGTATCTATTCACGAATGCGAGGATGCCAACGACCCTCGCTACTTGCTCGTAATGAAGGGAGCTCCTGAGCGTATCCTAGAGCGCTGCTCCACCATCTTCATCAACGGCAAGGAGAAGGTACTGGATGAGGAAATGAAGGAGGCTTTCAACAATGCCTATATGGAACTCGGAGGACTGGGTGAGCGTGTGCTCGGCTTCTGTGACTTTATGCTGCCCTCCGACAAATATCCCTCCGGCTTCAAATTCAACACCGACGACATTAACTTCCCCATCGATAACCTGCGCTTCGTCGGCCTCATGTCCATGATTGATCCTCCCCGTGCCGCCGTGCCCGATGCCGTGGCCAAGTGCCGTTCGGCCGGTATCAAGGTCATCATGGTTACCGGCGATCACCCTATCACTGCCAAGGCCATCGCCAAGTCCGTCGGCATCATCTCCGAGGGCAACGAGACCGTCGAGGACATTGCCCAGCGACTGAACATCCCCATCTCGGAAGTGAATCCCCGCGAGGCCAAGGCCGCCGTCGTCCACGGCGCCGAGCTGCGTGATGTGTCCAGCGATCAGTTGGATGAGATCCTGCGCTACCACACCGAGATCGTCTTTGCCCGTACCTCACCCCAGCAGAAACTGATCATTGTCGAAGGTTGCCAGCGCATGGGTGCTATTGTGGCCGTGACTGGTGATGGTGTCAACGATTCTCCAGCTCTGAAGAAGGCTGATATTGGTGTTGCCATGGGTATCGCCGGCTCTGATGTGTCCAAACAGGTAAGAGATCACTTCACAATAGAACATAATGACACGGAGTAAAAATATCACCAAAATTGTTCAGCAATTAGGAAGATTTTCGCACGAACATGACATTTAAAAATGTTTAAAATTAAATTGAACCAATGAGCGTGATATTTTACTGATCCATATACTTGTGATTTCCTGTTAACATTTAATATGGTTTTTTATCAAAGTGATAGGCAATATTTATTATTATAACCAAACAAGGAATTATGTTGAAAGCTCGTTTAATGTTTTAAAGCATGGGAAAATACAGTCTTATTTTCCGTTCTGCATCAAGTACATCAAGTTTCATGTTTTTGGTTTATGACAGACTTGTAGTAAGTGAGAGATGGCGCAATATGGATTTGATGTTCTTTTGTTGTCCCAAAAGCCTAAATTAATTATGTTATCCTGTGCAGGCTGCTGACATGATTCTGCTCGACGACAACTTCGCCTCCATTGTGACTGGTGTGGAGGAGGGTCGCCTGATCTTCGATAACCTGAAGAAGTCCATCGCCTACACCCTGACCTCCAACATTCCCGAAATCTCGCCTTTCCTGGCCTTCATCCTCTGCGACATACCACTGCCACTGGGAACCGTGACGATTCTGTGCATCGATTTGGGCACTGACATGGTGAGTTTTGACCTCCGTCCCAAACCCGATCCCAGTTGAAGATTAAAGTTAATGTTGCGATTAAGTCAGTGCCATTCGGGCAAGTTAAATGTAACAGTTGTAGTCCACCCCAGTTAATTGTTAAGAACTAGCGTCTTTAACACTCACTCTGAACGTGAATTGTGCGGCTGACTGCACTGGCAATCAGATTCCTGCCATATCGCTGGCCTACGAGGGACCCGAGGCGGACATCATGAAGCGCCGGCCCCGCAATCCGGAAATCGATAACCTGGTCAACGAGAGGTAACCGCGCTAGCCTCCGATCCAGTTGAAGCTCCAGCTTGAGAAAAACGCCAGTGCTAGGCTATCGAGTAGTTTAAGTGCTCTTTCCATGACCCGACCTCTAGCTACCCACAGATCTAGGCCAAAACCAAACTGAATTGAATTAATGGACTTGAAATTGTGTAAACCGTTGCTAATGTAACTACCTGCCATAATCCAATACCTAGGTGCCAGCCATTTCATTGGCCTACGAACACGCCGAAGCCGATATTATGAAGCGTCCGCCACGTGACCCCTTCAACGATAAATTAGTGAACTCAAGGTGCCAATCAAGTCAATTTCTACCCCACACTAATACACACACCACACACACTCACCAACCCACTAATCTCAACTACTAAAAAAGAAAAAAAAACATGTCTGAAGTAAAGAAAAGCGTAAATCAAAAGAAAACCATATAAATATAGCATATGTCTTATGTGTATGTGGCTGGATTGTACTAGAATAAGTTGGCCTAAACGAAAAGCAGCGCAAACATCTAACCAAGCCGTTGACACGTTTATGGTTTACTAAATACCCAACTTACTCTTAAGAATGTTATCACTCGTACATGAAACCCACACCCAACCGCTTTCCTCTCAATTCTCATATCTGTGCATATGTTCATTTGGTGGCAGATCGCTCGTCATGCATATAACCATTTATACATAAAAACATCCGCTATGTACATTTCATGTACAAGTTTATTCCCCACCGTTCTTAAGTTCCTCTCAAAGAGTTATATATAAAATGTATACATCATACGCATATAACTGTTCCCACATGTACAATTCATTTATCCCTACTTTTAATATCTAGCCAAAACGAATACCGACTTCATCTGCCATACTCTAATTGCTCTAAATGTTAATTGGTGTGCGTCGTATTTCGTTATTCTCTCACAAAAATATAAAGTCAGAAACATATCGCTCACGATTTTCGTTTTGTGGTGTAACTAACACTGAGTTAACCGTAAGATTCACCCCTCGACGTTATTGAAATTAGACAAATTGATTGGCATTTGTAATGGATTTTAAGTTTGTAAAATTTGGCAAAAATTTCAATATCAAAATTATCAATTGCACACGATCCGTAGCAACTAACCCAACCAAAAATATTTAATTTAATTATATAATTTGACTCGAGAATTTTCATTACCTTATGTTTAACTCTGTTCGTCACTCCACACATCAACCATTGTCCAATAAGTTTCTGCAACCTAAGTTTGTTTTAAGGAGAGTTTTAAGTTATGCAATTTAGCCTGTAAGATATACCTACCCCATTGAACCAGCGGTCGTTCCCTAAGCTCAGCGGATTTTTCAGGGTTTTTGTAAGACCACCCAGGCAGATGATCAAGCAGAAGCAGACAAATGAGTTTGAGTTTCCATAATTTATCGTATTTATTTTCATTTATTTTTTCCACTTCAACCAACTACCAACCGATAAACCAACCCACAACAAACGATCGTTTGCACGCTTAGGTGCCAGCCATTTCCTTAGCTTATGAGACGGCTGAATCCGATATTATGAAACGCCAGCCGAGGAATCCATTCCAAGATAAACTGGTCAACGAAAGGTAAAGTTTCGCTCTGTGCTGATCTACAATCAATTACAACAATTACCAGAACAATCAACCAACAACTATCAACAAAGCAATCAAACAACTGCAAGAACCGAATTTCGAATTAAAGTAAAAGACACATATCCGAACGCAAATCAAGATTTTGCATTTTTTACAACTCTATCAACCACCAAATAATTCTTTTATGTCACGCAATGAAAAGCAAATTGAGTACCATAGAACTAAATTTGTACTTTGAAAGGCTAAAGTCTTAAAAGCAAGCCAAAATCAAAGTACGCTTTCTTTCTATCTACAAGTCGAAGAAAATTTAAATCATTTTACTCTATTTATCTTTATATTATCCGCTATATCTCTGTCTTTCTATATACTAACTAAAATATTTTAAAATAGCTTAAGTACTCCTCGGTTGAATGTTGATTATTTGGATTAACTCCACAATGTTTTCCATGTTTTATGTTAAATGTTTGATTTGGTAGCTTTTCATTCAGTTTCTGTTTAATGTTCCCTTATTTACTTGATTATTCTACAGATTCTTCTAGTCTCTGATATTTCCGTTCAGATAGTAAAAAGTAAAGTTCAAAACGATTAGTAATATTTATTTGATACATAAATATAATATTGTACTTGGTTCAAGGAGTGTTCTTAGAGAATTCGCCAACATTTCCTATAAGCTATTTCCTAAGCACACTTAAATCTGGACTTGAGGTCCAGCGGTTATCATATAAAATATTTTTTTTAGAAAGAATTTTATAAAAATCCTTAAGTATGTTTTATTTTTGTATTTTCTTCATATGTATGGCATCTTGTAAGATTTTTCATTTGTTTTTGCAACATTGCAATATATCCTATAATTATTCGCTGATAAATGTATTTGTAATCTTATCAACATATATTTAGATACATATTAATTATACAATCTCAATAGACTTTTTCAAACTTTTTATCAGTTCTTAACAATGAAGACACACTGAATAACAAATATTTCGGATGCCATTCGGCCAAAAACCTCGAAAATTTTGCACTTGAAATATTTAGAAAATTTTCACTCGACTAGGAGTATTTCTGAATACATCCCTGTTAGTCATAAAGTCAGTTAGTTTGCCTTTCACTTTTCCGCTTAATTTTGGTCAACTTTCGCTCTCTATCTTTCACTTACTCTCTTTTTCTACAATGATTCTTAAGGTGCTTTGAAATACAACATTTGGGCCTAAAAACCTTTCGTGTGACCTCTGAATTTATCGTTTCCGCCATCGGAAATGTTCTTTAATTTGTATTCTTTGATAACCCGGTTTATTGATTTCAATTTATGTTATACTGTACAAGCTGTACAGGTTTTTGTTTCTATGTTTTATTTGAAGACCCTATTTTTGCGGTGCGAAGGTAAGTGGTGATCATGTTGAGGGCTCAGCTCAGAGTATTTTCTCCATTCCTCTGAGTTATTTTACCGTGGGAGAAACGATAGAGTTTTACCATTCGAACACAGATATTTTCAATCTTAGTATTTTCCTCTACGCTAGAGCAGGACTATTGTTAACTTAGTGAGTCTGTAATTTGTACGTTTCTACCTATGCTACTCTATAATTATCGGTAGAATACTTCGAACTAGACATCAATTCATTCCCGACTCTCTCTTAACTTGGAGTCAACTCGAATCATTCAGCACATTCTTTCAGTCAATCAGTCAGTTAAAGTTTGCCCCATATCTTTCTCTACCAACTCTCTATCAGTCATTCATAAAAACGTCTTTTGAGTTGTAGTTGACCGACACTCACACAAACCTCCTTCAAACCCAATCGATGTCAATCAAAAACCAGGCTAAAATTGTCCTTTAGAAATAATGATACATTTAAAACGATTTAGCCCAATTAAAGCTCTAAGTCATTTTTATACACCATACAACTGCGCATTTAACTACCTACCTACTGTTTACTATACTGTTACTGGGTGCTCTATGCTCTTTCTGCCCTAGATTAGTTTTAGCTTCGTAAGTACGTGGGAGCTAAACAAATAAAACACTGAGATACTATTTTACATTCAACATGCAACAACAGATACCCCATGATGGTACTTGTCACTGCCTCCCGTCCTCCCCACAGAACTCTGTCTATCTATTATGATCTATTAGTGAATATTAATTAGCGTATAAAGTACAAGTATTTACTACTCGCCCGCAAGCATATTTATATAAATCTTTTATACAAATATTTTTATATATATTTGTAAACTTTAATCAGATTTTCCTTTGTATTTCCCTACATTCTTTCAACTCTTGTTATGTCTTTCTTTTGATTATCAAACAACCAACTAACAAAATTGCAACTTGCACAAATACCGATAACTGAACAATCAATAACCATTAATTGCCATATACCGCAAGATTCCGGCCATTTCACTCGCTTACGAGCAAGCCGAGAGCGATATTATGAAGCGTCAGCCGAGAGATCCGTATCGCGACAACTTGGTGAACCGCAGGTCAGGACAAACTTAACGCTAAGGCTTAAAAAAAAAAACTCCATTATCCAAGTGTTAACCGTCTTTTAGTTGATTAGTTAAGGACTAGAAAATGAACAAACATGCAACCATCTTTCACTTTACCAACTTTGATTTTTGTTTGATGTGTTGTGGTCGCGTTTCTTGCATCACAATTTGGCCAACAATTACCAACAGATGAAGCGATCATTAATCAGTCTATAACATTCAATAAATCGAATGCTAAATTCCAAATTTCACCCTGAAACTTTTGCGACTGTTTGTTCGTTTGCTGATGCGTTCCTGCGTTTTTCTTTGTTTAAATTTAAATTCCACACTCTTGAACATTAAAATAATAGTTTTCTTTCGTTCCTGTTTCTATGTGACCACTGTTTCTTCTTATTATTTCAGTTTCTGTTTTGAAACTCTCAATGTGGAATGAAATTATCTTTCATATATTCTGGTACCAAAACAAAAAACCGTTTAAAAATTACTTTCCCGAAACAATTTTTTATATTTTCTGATTCAGAATACTTTTATTACATTTAATTTGATATGGAATAATCCCTTTATGTATCCCTCACTTAAATCCTTAACTCTAAGTGTTACATTTGTGGCGTGTTACTCGCACAAAAAACTTCGATCCTTACACAGATTTAATGTGTGTGCTAAAAATATTCAGGAACAAAATTCGAATACAATCTAAAAGTGTCTGTTTTGCAAACTGTAGTGTCACAAAGAATAAACGCCCAACAGCTGCTTCTAGAGTATTTGACGAAGTTAGTTCAAAGAAAAACGCTCGCTCGCTCTAACGCTCACCTGCATAAACAAAGACAATAAACACTGAAAACACACAGCCCACACATCAAACATTCAAACAACTGAGAATTATTATGTGGATCTATGTATGTCCACAAGCTCAGAAACAAGCAAAAGACTGAACAAAAACTTAACCAAAAACTCCACGAAAACGAAGCTTCTGCCGTTATTCTTAGACCAGTTAGTGCGTTACTTGTAGATGAGTTTGTTCGAGCCAACGACAAAACAAAACGAAAATCGCTTAAGTTGTGTTCTAGATACACCATATGATCGTTATATACAAAATCTATACTTAGACTCGTTCCGAAATCTGGTTCCAAGTGCCAAGTCGCGGTAAGTCTGAATGTTCGGGAGGTTGTCCTGAAAGTAGGTAAAACTTTACAACAATGGCAACGAAGATTTGTTATAATTTTTTGTGTGCAAAACTCTTACGTGTTTAATATTCTTAAGTTTGTGTTTAAGTGTAAGTTTATTATTGCGTTTATGTTTTATGTTGATTTCAATCGAAACTTCCTTAAACGTAAGTAAACGAAAAGGTTGTAGAGCTGCATTCGCTTATTGTAGTTATAATGGCACGCTTTTATGTCTTGCATGTTTAGTACTGTATGTCCTGTATTTAGCCGCATGTTCAATTAGCATTAACAATTACTATGCTTTTCACATCCACATCCAATGCAAAATGTAAGAAAGCCAAACAAAACAAAGAAATTCAAACGATTCTGCGCCCTCACGCTTTTTGTCAAGTATAAATAGTACGATTTGCTTTTACGCGCCTCTAAGATGAAAAAATTACTACAGATTCAAATGAGATTTGCTCAGACACTATCCACGCTATATAGAGTAAAGTCTAACACCATTAAAACTAAACGATAAACATTCATTTGCTAAAACAATCCATAAAAGAGCTTCAAGGTAAAGTGGCACTAACAACAATCTAACTAACTAACCCCGAGTACGGATTAGTACTCGGATCGAGGACTCTACGGACAGTTGCGGTCCTTGGGCAGGGTTTTTGTTCCTCCCTAAGTGTTTTGTGTTTGTTGTACGTGTTTTTCCGTTCTATCTTCTTGTGAGCAAATGTTTACCGCTTAATTTCAAGCATTTGTTGCCTTCCTACCCTAAGTTTACCGCCTTCAATGTTCGACGACAAACAAAAACCTTGGCCAAGCCGCGCATGTTCCTGTCACTGTCCGATGCCCGAAACTTTACCGCTAGCCAACCAGTAACGAGAAGTGTCTTGCGTCCTGAAAAACAAACCAAAACCCCACACAAAATAAAAAAAAAGTGCAGCCTGCTTTTGAGAGTTGTCTAACGAGGTTTGCTTATTTCTCCCCACTTCCACCTTACCCCGCCCCTTTAACTAACGCAGGTTGATTTCGATGGCTTATGGACAGATCGGTATGATCCAAGCCGCCGCCGGCTTCTTTGTGTACTTCGTCATCATGGCTGAGAACGGCTTCTTGCCCATGAAACTGTTTGGCATTCGTAAGATGTGGGACTCGAAGGCAGTCAACGATCTAACTGACTCCTACGGACAAGAATGGGTAAGTTGTCATTCCAACTTCTTACACTAATACACATTATTATAACTGTTCGATTAAATTATCTTTGAATTTTGCTTTTAACTTGCTAACAATAAACAATATTAGTTAAAAACAAGAAAAAAAAAAAAATTTCGGGGGGAAAAAAAAAAAATAATAAAAAAAAAATATTTTTTTTATAAAAAAAAAAAAAAAAAAAAAATAAAAAATTTAAAAAAAAATAAAAATCCCCAACAGATTTGCTTGATTTTGAAATCGCTTTACAGTTATGATATTTTATGGCGTTAGATATAGGCCGATCCTTATGAAATTTGTTGTCGGATTGATTGGCCAAAAAAAAAACCAAAAAAAACCAACTTTATCTTTAAAACACCAAGTTATGCTTTTTTGTTACTCCCTTTATACTACCTGCAATAAGACTTTTAAAGTTTTTTGATATGATAGCAAGGTAGAAATTAATGATTGTGAGCAAGGAGTTACTTTGTTCACTTTGAATAGCGAGGAAGTCAAATAGTATAGTTAACAAATAGTTAATAGAGTAGTTAACAAATGAGACAATTCTGATTTCATTTCTTATATTTCAATAGACCTACCGCGACCGCAAGACCTTGGAGTACACCTGCCACACGGCCTTCTTTATCTCGATTGTGGTTGTGCAATGGGCCGATCTGATCATCTGTAAGACGCGTCGTAACTCCATCTTCCAGCAGGGCATGCGTAACTGGGCTTTGAACTTTGGCCTGATCTTTGAAACCGTGCTGGCCGCGTTCCTCTCGTACTGCCCGGGCATGGAGAAGGGTCTGCGTATGTACCCCCTGAAGTAAGTGGACCTGCAGTGAAATCCCTTTAAAGGCGTCTAAATAATGCATTTTTTCTTCCGCAAACCTAGACTCGTCTGGTGGTTCCCGGCTATTCCATTTGCGCTGGCCATCTTCATCTATGACGAGACCCGTCGCTTCTACTTGCGTCGCAACCCCGGAGGCTGGTTGGAGCAGGAGACATACTATTAAACACCCACACTGCTACACTCCCACACACATAGCCACATGCCCCCACACACACACACAGAAACACGCCCACACCCACACCCACATGGGAAAACACCTAAAAACCATGGAGAGCAACAAATAGTAATGTTTATGAACCACAAAATCCACACAACCACAGTAATAGCAACAGCAGCAGCAGCAACGGCAAGAACAACAGCTAAAGATAGCTACAGCAAAAACATATTACAATATATTTTATTTTTTTAATTTAATTATTTAAAGTAAACGAGGAGAAACAAAAATGCAAGCGATAATTATTTTAAACGTTAAGTAAATTTAAATTATAAATTAAAGCTAAAAATAAGATTTAAATAAAGTATAAATGAAAATAAAACAAAAACGAACAACAATTTCGAAACAAACACCAATCACAACCAGACAAGAACAACCAGTAACTAAGCAAACAGTAACAACACCATGTTTTTAGTAAAATTATTAACGTAACGAACTGGAAAACGATTATTTAAGCCGAAGCTTATCGAACAATAACAAGATCCCAAAAGAAAAGCTAAAGGCATTCACACATACACACTCGCACAGGCACACTCACAAACACCTACACACACCGATACACAACGCATGACGAGACAAAGTATATAAGAAGTTTAGAGAAATTATAAAACGAAGTAAATAAAAAAGTAAAAGAGGAAAACAAAACAATGAAAAACCTTAGCGTAGTTACCAATTAAGCCGTGAAGAGTAAACCCCAATAAAAACCACAACAACAACCAAAAACAAAAAGAACAGAAATTAATTTGCAAACTTGTGTGTGTAAACGCAGCTTAGCGCAGAAGAACGAAATATATATATAAACAGAAAAAAACCACAACAAAAAATGTGAACCGACACGAGGAATATAATTGTTTATATATATACACACATATATTATATGGAAAAATTTGATTATATAAATGGAGCTATACAATACACCAAAAAAAAAAGCAAACGAAAAACAAAATTGAATCCAAACGAAAACGACAGATCTGCGCCGGAGATGGGTATCTGAGCGATATTTGGAGGCCCGCCGGCGATTCGCGGAGAATCTGCAGAAAAGAGTTTGTTAAAATCTAAAGAAACCAACTAAATGTTTATAAATAAACTCCTTAAACCAATTGACATGCAATATTATGCTTTGTGTGCATTTAAGCCCAAAAGAACCGATGCAGAGAATACGGTGGGGTTAAGTCCCCCGATATCGATATCGAGATACAGATACCGTTACCGAAACCTAGCCCCAGAACAAAAAACAAAACGAAAACAAAAACAAAACCAAACAAAAAAGCGCCCACAAAATAAATGTTTGTAATTTTTACACGGCACAGCGCCCCAAAATGGGGCAAGCCCAAGGCAGTATTGTGTTTACTTTTTCTTTGATTGTTTTTTATCGCTTTCCCCGCCCACACACGCCCCCAAAAACAAAAACAAATACAAACACACACACTCGCGCAGAGGCAGTAACGAACGGTTGAGCGGTCAAATTGTTGGCCACCCACATTGAAATTCAACGAATTACACAGCTTGGTATTGTCGTTATCAAATGAGTGGGTCTGACAAAGCGGCCGCTGGCTAATTGAGATTTCTGAATTGTGAAAAATGAATCAGAAAGCGATATTTGGATATATGTATGTGGATATTCATTACGATCGGCTAGAACGACCGACGGTCACACCCACGCAGAGAGATACGCCCAGGCAAACGAGTTTGATTCGCTGCTGTTTTTGTTTTCCAACTGTCTTGTTTTCTAACTTAGTAAAGATGATCATTAGCATTGGAGATAACGATAATTATGGCATGTTAGTTATGAAAGAAAATGAAAAACTAAACAAAATTATTATTATTAGTTGTTAACAAATTATATTGAGTAATTAATAATATTGATCGATGGAAGCTGATGTGAAAGAGATATGATACTAAACTAAAAAACGAAGCAAAATAAAAAAAAACCAAACGAGGACAAAAACAAAAGATAAATAACTCATAATATGGACTACAAATATTTATAAACAAATGCAGAATTATATAAACGTTCGATGGTAAAAGCAAGAACTTGAAACAAAAACAAAAACCAGAACAAATTTGTCAACAACACGCAGAAGTAAAAATTTGCATGTAACAACAAAACAATGAGTAAACATTTTTAATTTTTTGTTCTTTCGCCCTCCGCTGTAAATGTATTTGTAGATTTAAACAATGATTAAAATAAAAAACTACATAAATAAAACTTAAAAAAAAAACAAATCGAGTTCTTTTATTTCTAAAACCTTGTATTTAGGCATTTTTCAAGGAGATAAGAAAAATCTAAGTTGAAAAACTTTGGAAATGATTCACAAACTATGGACTTAAATGGGAAAGGCTTGCATATATTGTTACTCAAATTATTATTTCAAAAACGTTCCATCGTTTTACGATCTCATTAATTCATCCACTGAATTGAATTGTCGTGCCAAATAATCATCTTCAATCAACAAAATCGCGACATTTTTATGTCTACACACAAGCTGGAAAACGGGGCTATAAACATAAATATATTGCTCATACGCCCCGTCTTCACCCCGGCGAAATGAGTTCAGGTCCGTAACGAATACAAATACAATGGCGCACACAAAAAAATGGAAGCCAAATACAAAGGCAAAAAGGTTGCGAGCACATACTTGCAAGCCCCCAATGTTTGCAATACTTGTTTGTGTGTCTGTATTTACGACTGTATTTACAGCAATGGCATGCAGCGTTTGCCTCTTTTTCGCTGCTGCTAGTGATGTTGCCATTCCTATGGCTATATGGCCTATTGTCGAGGCAGGTCTCTCAGGGGCGGAATAGGGGGTCGCTGCCACAGCGACAACATTTGGGTCTTATTAATTTCCGTTTTGCTTATTTATTTTTACGACGCCTCGCACAGCTCGCAGTTCGCGCCCCGTCAGCCGCCGAAGTGTAGGGCTCCCCAACGCAAAACGCAAACGCCATCGCAGAAAGAACATTTATTCGGGATTCCACATTTGAAGGCACTGCGATGCTCTACGATAACCGAGCCGTGCTATTCCTCATAAATGGGATTACTGAAATATATTGTCATATTGTTGATTTATTCATATATTAATTTTAGTTCGTATTACAACAAATTAGAGGCCACACTGTATTCCAAATAAGACGAAAACCATTGATAAATTGACGATTAGTTTCAAAGTTCAGAAGATATTATTTTTTTACGGTTTTTTTATGCTAAAAGAAAAATTAAATTCATCATATGTTGAGTTTTACAGTATAGGACAGGTTCGTTTTTTTTTACATTGGAATTTTATAGCTTTAAGGGTGAGATATATGTATTGTAATCTTATAAAGCTTTCTTCAATATTTAAACGTTTGATTTTAAGATAAGCCATTTTTTTAAGGTATATAGTTCGAATGATGCATTTTTCAAAATACCTCTCTTATATTTCCTTAAAACTTCGTTATACTTCTATATATGTTAAATACATGTATACATATGTTGTTATAGGAACAAGCAAGAAAAGTTTGCGTACGTATGATTAGAGAAAACATCTCGTAATCAAATACATGCCAAATTTACAGAGGAAAGCTTTTTTCGGTTATACCCCTATTAGCTTAGTTATTTTTAAATGCTGACAGCAACCAGTCAGTCTTAAAATTTTTAAGTGAAGCTTAGATTGTGATTGTTTTGTACCAAGTAAATAAATTTATTCTTTAATATACTAATGAATACCCTTTACTTTGTCAAGTAAATATTAATAGTTAAATATACACTTTCCCCATCTTGAAAAAGTCTGGAATATTGTTTCTAAACCGTGTTTTCAATACAGGGTATACGACGACTCAGCAGCAACATTTTTCCAACCGACTTAACACGGGCGTCAAAAACTTACGCGCTTGCTTGTCTAAGACAGCGGGGGGTGGCGTTTGGGGGTGGTGGTGGTGATGGTGATGGCCCCAACCCCCGAACCCCTTGCGAAATGCGCCCTTGCACCGAGAGAGAACTGGGAGACCGAAGCGAGGAGAGTGAGACGGCGGTGGCGGCAGAGAGAGAGCGGCGCAGTGTTGTTATCGCCTGGCCAGCGTTCCATTGCCATTTCGTTCCTTATCCTGTGCACTCGGTATCCTTATCTTTCGCCCTCTCCCCCGCCGTTCGGCTGCACTTCGTGTGCCCTTCGGCTCGCACTCGGTTTTTTCAGAGGCAATCGGGCAGTCGGCTAGTCGGTTAGTGGCTCGCAGGTTAGGTTAGTCTTTCATTATCCGGCGTATGAGCGTGTAACGATGTTCCCGTGATTTCAACACGCAGCAGCGGCAACAACAACAACGACAAGAGCAACCAAAACAATAACACCAACAATAGAAGAGAGCAGCGGCAAACGGTATTTTGCTGCGCTTCTCCTATTTTAAGTGCCGAGTGTTTTACTATTTTTACTACACAGCGATACACACAGATAGAGAGGTATTTGTTGTTGTGAGTTGTGTTAGGAACAACAATAAAAACAAAAACAGTGTTAAATGCTAGTGAGATGATCTTCCATAAATAAAATTTGAAATAAATTCGAGAAAATAAATTGAATGAAAATGCCAAGAAACTGCAGCAGCAGCAAGAAAAGCAGCAACGATGTTGGAGGGCCGAAACTAGGCTAAATATCTTTGCATACTTTTGGGAAAGTTGTGCGGCACATACAGACACACAAACACACACACAAGTACAAGCCGGCAGGACCTGCGCCTGCGGTCGCCGACATTTGAACCTGTTTTCTGACCGTTGAACGCCGACCACCGACCGCCGCGCCGGCCACCTCTTTTCACTTTTGGCAACGCGAACTGCAGCTGCAGCTGCCGCTGAAGAAGAGGAAAAAAGGATAAAGAAAAATGTGCACAAAAACGGCATAAACCTACAAAAACGGGCGAAAGAGTTCAGAGTGGTACGGTTCAACAGCCTCCGGGTGTTCGTGGCAAGCTCAACTGCAAATTCGGCGGCAGCTTCGTGTATCTGTGTGTCTGTATCTGCAGCTGCAGCTCTGCAGCGGCGAAAATTGTGTCAGCAGCATCGGCAGCGGATCCTGCAGCTCGCCAGACTGGCGCCTCCATCCTTGATTGCCGGTAATGTATTCAGTTTTAGCCGCTTTCAAGCTTGGCTCACACTTTACGCCACTCATACGCCCCGTGGACATTACGCATACGGCCCGTGTGTGTGTCTGTGCGGGCGGTCTTACCTTGACAACGGACGGGGGCAGTCCGTGACAATTGTCGGTTTGTTTTTCCGTTTTCCTTTCGTTTCGCTATCGATTAAGCCCACCGAGGCCCCTCGCCTTCTCAGTCGCCCTTTGTCTGCGAATTAGCGACAACTTCTGGGCCATGCAGCATATGGCTTTGTCCACCGTCTTTTATCTATAACGCCTAATTGAGTCTTTTGTGCGACTCAAGACAAACAGCACCGCAGAGAAAAAGAAATGAGGAACCTAGCTAGATTCGGCAGGGGCCCGAAGCTTGATTACTTGCTGACTATTCTCAGATGAAACGTCAAGTATACATCAGTTAAAAAATACAACACCAAGTCTGACTAAACTTTAAATTTGCCTCCTTAACAGTAATACTCTTATATTTGTGAGGCATAATATGTATAAAAAGTGCAGATTATATATATGTTTCGCTTTATAGAAAAAAATATCATACTCACAGTAAGGGTATTAACAGACAATGGCCAGGAAAACAATCAACGCGGGGGCAAGTAAACAATTGGAAAGCGGAGCACTCGCGACTCCTGCCCAAGTCAGGCAGCCACTTGAGTTTTTCCGTCACGTTTTGTTCCCATCATAGAGAGGTGGGTGGTTGCGAGGGTGGGCAGTGGCATTTGCCTTTGTCAATATCAGTCAAACTGTTTGCCTGACATTTGCTTACCATTTCAGTTTAGAGTTCACTTTGTGTCCTTTTATACAAATGAAAAACCGTTCATTCATTCACTCACAATGGGACTCCTTTTACTGACCAATGAATTGAATGGAAGGTCGTTCCAAAAGAATTTGTCAATTGGACAAAACGGGAGGATTCCCAGAACTTTCAATGGACTTGAGTTCGAGATCTTATATCGATATCTTATCTATCTAAATGGCGGCAATTAACTAGCTAATCAATCAAGTACCCAATCATCAGCATGACCATTCGAAAGAGTTTCAGTATCTGATAAGACTCATACCTCAGGCTATTTAAAATTGAGTGTTCAGCAAGTTGAGGCAAATACAGTAATTCAAAAGAGACAGCATTTTGGGGAAAGTAATTTAATTTATGGTTCCGACAATTAAAAGCAACAAACCATAGCACAACCGCAGCACAACTCCCAGATGAAAATTCAGCGCTTTAAAGGCTTAGAGCAAAGTGGCAGGCACTCAAAGGCTTATGCCATGCATACGTAGCAGCCGCAAACAGTGGCGAAATACCAACTTATTTTTTTTTATTTTGGTGAAAAGACCAACTTTTCTAACTAACAAAAAAATAAGCCGCGCACATGTGTACACAAAAGAAACCAGAGGAAGAAAACTGCAAATAACAAGATTTGGTCATGTTTGATTCATGAAACCGGCAGCAACTTCCAGCCCCTCACCCAATTGAACAACAATGGGGAAATAAAGTTACAGTTGCAGTGGCTATGGCAACTGGAAGCCAACATTTTACACAATGCCGCAGAATCAGCAGCTTCAGCAGATGCAGATCTGCCCGGGAAATATAAAACCCGAAAAAAGCATCCATGCGAGTGTAAAGTTTATGCAGAATACCGCTGCAGCAGAGTTAATCATACGTCTGACAGTAAAAAATCGCCAGCTATGGGGCTAAAAAAAGCACGCTTCCCTCTTCATATTTTCCTGCTAGATTTACCGTGTATGTGGCATCAAATTGCGCATACGCCCCGTAAGCCGTCGAGATGGCCAGATCTGCAGGCAATTTGATTAGGGCCAGCGAGCCATAAAAAATGTAGAGAAATGCTGAAATAAGGCTTATTTCTAAGCCAGCCAAGTCGAGCATAAAATGCAAGCAGCATCCTGGGAAAAATACGCGAAGGACTTGATTCCCCAGTTTGCTTCTTCATAAACCGAGAGCGGCAATTAAATTGTGACTGCCATGATGGTAACGGCGGAGAATATATAAATTAAAAGAGATAAAAACTCCATAAAGATGACAAAAAATCAAAAAGAACGAGAGAAAGGCAGAGGCAATAAATAACGGAAAAACAGCGGAAAGAGGGATGGGAAAGGGCGGAATCACAAAATGGCGGCTGTGGCGTTGACAGGCGAGCCTTAAGTCAGCTTTTGTGGCAAAACAAAAGACGCGCGAAAAGAACAAGATATTGGGATATCTAAATTACCGTTGTCACGCACCTAAGCACACACACATTCGCAGCACGTACACATAGAAATGTCGGCATTGTGTCAGCACGGAAACCAAAGTGAAAACCTTTCATTTCTTTTTCCCCGTCCTTTCAGATGGTCGAGTTTCATTGACTGTGCGAACAAAGACCAAGGAAATGATAATTTTCCGCTTAACAAACACACTCGTGCATGTGTGTGTGTGTGTGGATTTGGTTGTCGAAATAAATTGCCAAGAATTGAAATTGAAATGTTTTCAATTAACTCTTCACATTGGGTAGTACTTAATCCTTGTCACATTAGCTCGAACTCACATTCTGGTTTTAATTAAGTCGAAGTGACGCGTGTCTGCAATATTTATCAAGGGCCAGGGAGGCAAAGGGCATAATCAGGTGCGTTAAGGTGAATAATTTAAAAGTGTAGGGGAGTATCTCAGAGATACAAGCCGGATAACACACATGCCAGGGGAATCTTCATCTGGCCCCGTTCGAACTTAATTTCCATTTCAATTTTCCCCATTCATTGAGGTCCTTTTCCTGTCTCTGCCCCTGCCAAAGCCTTGCCCCCTGACCCTATTCGTTTCGGGCCAAAACTACATGTATACACTGGAAAATAAAATTAATTGCAGGAAATCTCTTTAAAGTAAAATTAACTGAAACTTGTATCTATTTAATTTTATTAAGCAAATAAGCCTTAAAAATATCGCAATCTTCTTATGGTTTTAAGAGAACAGTTGAACAAAGTTTGATATATATATATATGTATTAACTCCCAAAAACTATTTTTTTCAACAATTTTTATAAAATGTTTTAAGGATGATAATTATAATCCGTGCTTTCATGTAATAAATTAAAATAATTACTATGTTTAAAATTAAAAACTATTGAAATAAATTTTTGAACGAACTTATTTCCTAAATAGATTTTGCTCAGTATACTATTTAGTAAGCTAGGGGGCGCCATTTTGGCTCTGTTTGCCGCCTCTAATGGATTTCCAAGGCGGAGCATAACAATTTGTTTGTGGGCCGAAACTGTTGCTCCGGCCGGGAAGTCTGCCACAATGATTATTACGATGATAACGGCGAGGACGATGATGATGGTGATGGCTCTGGGATAATGTGATTTTTCCCAGCGATTTTGAGGCAGCCCGTAATATCGTTGCCGTTTTCATGCCAAGGCGAACATACAAATTACATGACAATGGCAAGAGATGTACAGTGTTTATCGCCTATGAGGCGAAAACGTCCCACAAACCAGCGGCAAACGTTGGGGCAGAGAAAAAAAGCTAAAATCACTTGGCAAAATGTTTGCTTTGCTGATTGGTCACGGCTTAATCAAGCTCTGCGTCAGCGTTTTCATTCATTGAAAGATTGATTGATGCACTGACCGATTGCCAGTTTTTTGCCGCCCCTGGGCAAACATCTGGTCAACCATCAATCAGCCATCATTGAGGAGCAGCGGAACCTGCTGCTGACACACACGGCAAATTGTCGAGTCCAGTCGCAACTCTTTGGCAAACACAATTGGCATTCTTGTTTCAGTTAAAGTTTTTCCAGGCGGTGGGTGTGGGAGTTTGTTGAGTTGGGAAAACCCCTGCGGAAACCCAACCGCAGCAAATAGTTTTTGCCACTCGCCCACTTGATATGGCAATGGCGCTCAACTTTAACAACGCTATCTAAACCAACTTTGGCATGTCGGGACCCGACTTCTCCGCATTCAGCAACCCCCGCTTAGAGAGAAAACTGGTTTGGGGCTGGAAAATCAATAGCAGCCTTGCGACATACACACGCATATATTTATGCGGCACGCAGCTGCTGTCCCCAAACTCCATTTCCCCCACTTCTCCTATGTTCATACTGCCAACTCCATCTGTTTTTGCTCTAGTCCGTAAATCATGGCCAGAAGTGATAATATCGTGCACGAAATCTCGACTATTTGACACTGTTCGCGAGCTATGTACTTATCTCACAGAATATTGTTTTAAACTTAAAAAGCAATACAGAAAACTACGGCAAGTAGTTTGTATAGTATAACATGCCCATATATTTTGGAACTTAATGGCCTGGGGGCTTGTTTGGAAAGCACTGTTAATTATTATTTATGATAGCATTTTTTTGCTCAGACTCGCTGTACTGATAAAAATATAACTGTGTGTATTTGCTTGACAACTAGCATTAACTTTAGCTAGATGACTGCATGTTGTTCGGGACAAAGGATGTCCTACAAGAAAATACTATTAGTCAAAGCGAGACGTGACTAATGTATACAAAGGCAAGGTCCTCGAGTTGTTTTTCAAGCAGTATATCTGCAGATAGCAGAAAGTCCCCTAATGACCTTTACTGCTGGTATTTGCTCTGAAGCTCAGTGCCATTTTATAGTGCAGTACCCTGGCGAATGGCATCCTCTGTGGTATGCTGACATTTAAGTTCCATTTGAAAATCAAATCAATGTCAATGCCAGCCATAGTTGATTGCTGCTCGCGATGTGGTGCGATGCGATGGATGCGATACTGGCCTTGATTGCGCTGCCTGATTGCCATTGACCAGTGATGTGAGTCCACCAAGGCAGATATGGAAACGCATAATTGACAGGCCAGCAGGCATCTATCCGTCGCCCACAAACTCAAACGCCCGGGAATGTGTAGTCTACTTTCAGGCAGGCTGGCTGAAAGCCAGTTTCCGGTGATACGATAATTCGCTGCTTGTTGCGTCCATTCCGCAGTCAAGGGGCAGGCACACGCCCAAATACTTTCAGAAAGTCGTGCAGATAAACAAATAACGTAGTAATATAAAGAACTCTTAGTGAATACTAAGGTTTTATTAATTGAATTAATAAAATAATATTTTGTACTTCAATAAATCGAAATGCAACATTAGGAGAATGTAGTGGAATATGATAAAATAAAATATTAATAATTGTAATCGTAACTTTCGCTTAACGCTTTACTATTTAAATCTTTACCCAGAGCTTTATTCTTTGTGTGCGTATCCTTGTAGAAGTGAGAAATACAGATATAAATAAATAAGAATGCTCAAAACTCACACATTCTTAGGGCGACAGACATGAAAAAAGGATATTGTTAAATAATAAACAGTTTACGCTCTGACAACACACAACAGGCGTGAAAATTAAGGGCGGAGGGGGCGTGGCCGTTCAACTGTCAACACAAAATGATACACATCTGCACAGTCACACACACACATTCGCACCAGATAAGGACCCACTCACACATACAAAACACCACACCACTCCACTCGCAAGTTTTGTGACAAGAAGGCATTTCAAATCGACGATTCGAATAACGACCGTCATCAAACTTGTTGTTATAACGTCGCAGCTACAGCAACAAGGACAATATCAAAATGTCGCCAATAACCGGGTGGGGGGGGTTGTGGATAAAATATGCTGACATCGCCAACTGTTCCCACTCGGTCCCGTATTAAACATGTCATTTGACGTCCCTGGATTCGAACACCGAACACCGAACACTGAACACCGAAACCTGTCAGACATTCGCTTGTTAGCATAACGAATCTAAATACCTCTGTCACGGAAGCCTGACAAATCTAGTCCCTGAAACAAAGCCCCCACAAAGGATATAATAAACTACAGCGATCCTTATCTGCCAGTGAAATGGAATCACCGCCGTTCAAAGGGGGTTTGTGGAAAGCGATTTATGGCTTAAGTAGAGTGTGCCGAAACGTTTACTGGCAGATTTTACCCAAGGACTTTAAATCTCGGTAAAAGTGTCAGGTTTTTCTCTGCTATTCATGCGTTTGCATGTTGTGGCTACCCTTTGCTTTTGCTAAATATTTAATTCAGTTACCTTGTTGGGGCCACATAGCTATTTTTCCAAGCACTTAACGAGGAGCTTATTGTGTCTCATTATCTGCTTGCTTCTAACAGTTGGCCAATGGTTGATTACACAATTGCGGATAGTATCTTTAAGTCTATGACGTGATAATAGCTATCGGGCAGGCCTTATTTAAACTGGATCGTATAACACAGCAAACCAGAAAGCGAGAATATCAAGATGTAGGGCAGCTATCAGGTGTGGTCGCACAAACGTAATTGCCCCGACTTATCATCAGTTGTTCGGACCCACTATTGTATATCTCCCTATCGAGTTGCAGTATCTAAGGCCTCTTCGTGCGTCATATTTACTAGTATATATACGAATGATCGCAACAGGGGGAGAGGGGAGGGCCAGGTGATATCTGCGGCTGCCAAAGTGGCGATTTGATTAGACGACACGCGATCCGAATGCGAGTGCGAATGCTCTGATTTATACTTCATGAAAATCAAAATCGAGACAGAGCTAACGATTTCCCCAAGAGTCAAACACCGAAAGGACCGAAACCGGACCCCAGTTCCCAGCAGTACTGCGCACCTGGCTGAGCGGCGGCTCAGTTGCTTGCCAGGAAGCGAGCGAAGGCCACCCACCCAGGCAACCGACGGGCGGGAGAAACTATGAGTTGTCACCACTGAGGCGAACTGCAGGGCGTTCCACTATCCACTCTTGAGTCTCCAGCGTTCCGTTTGCCATCGAGTCCCGACTCCTGAGTCCTGTGTACCCATCCCCACCAGCCGCAGCGTCAATCCCATCCCGGAGTGAGTATCCCTGGACACAAATCCCACAGCGTCCCACTCACTTATGTATGATTGAGTCGTGAATGAGATGTCTAAGACTATTTACAGAGACGGTCGAGAAAATAGAACCAGGAAATAGAATCATTTTGTACAAAGTTACAAATTTCTTGCGACTTCCAAGACTTTATCTATTTATTGTATAACTTATGGCGTGTAGCGTATTAATGTCCAATGATTTGATATTTAGCAAGCATAGTGATTAAATTTACTCACCATTGTGCACTTATAGTTATTTAATCTGCATTGACTAAGTAAAAACGTAATTCTTGTTTGTAAATATATTTTTTTAATTTTTAATTTATGAAATTTATTTACAATTGCAAAAGATATGTCCATGCTTACATCGACTGGTTTAAAAGTTATTTGGTATTAACATCATTTTTGTTTATGAACTCGTGGACAACGATATGTTCAGGCCAAAAATCAGGACTTAATATCTGGCTATATAGCGGATCAGGTAAAAGGATTTTAAACGATGAGATCTTTCGCCTTTGCTTGTTATAAATTTTTCTGATATGGATGTCATCTGAATCGGGATGAGAAAGTTTGCTAACTACGTAATGTTTAAGGGCATCTTCAGTAGTTGAGGGTATAAGTCTAGATACGAACACAGCCTTCATCGGAGGAACCGCAGTTAGGATTTCTGGTATAGGTAAAGCAGCATGGGGCTTTTTTTTCACTGAGGAGACCGGCAAAGTGGCAGGAACATTCTGGCTTATATCCAATGACACCCTTTTAGTAATGGGATTCCCATCACAAATACTTTTGTTTGCACACGGTACTTCTCCAAATGCAGGATCACTAAGCATCTTAATAGATGAAAAGGCTGATTCCAGCTTCAAACACTTATCATGAACGACTCGAAATTCTCTAAAGAGCTCATTTATTTCCATACGTGTTTGACGAATAAAAGTTCCCATTTCAGATTTAATCATTCTGCAGTCCTTACAGGACCATTTGAGCCCATTTTTCATTTCGATTAAGCCTAGGACACGATCAGATAGTCCAGCACACTTGAAATGGGCATGTTTGTCGCATAACCAGCACTGAACACTCTGATCAGAAGTGATCAAGTTGTTGAACTCGCACGTTTCCATACAGCAGGTCAGCATTTCTAGAGTTATGTTGGCAAGTGTAAAAAGCAGTCAGACAGTTAAGGTTAGTTACACAAAACGACAATATTACAAAATTTAAGGGAAACGCAGAAATGTATTATTTTTTTTGTGTTTAAATATCTCTTTGTTTTAGATCAAATATTAATCCAAATATTTATTTGAACGAAAGCAATCCTTCTAAGGTTTTATAATAATTTGTACTTTAAATACTCGGAAGAAAAGATAAAGTGCGTCAAGCTGCTTCGAATTTTGAATGACGAATGACGAGTTGTGTTTGAGATTAGATTTATTTGTAAATATAGCCAAAGAGCTCTTGACTATGAAAAAGTCTATCGCCAAAGCATGATAATAATTATTTCTACAATCTTAGCTAAATCAACCAGGTTGAGTGAATGAAATGACCATCAAAATGATAATTTTATTACACTTTAAATCGTACACCTGAAATGTTACAATTGTATATTTGCATTAGTTGTGCTAGTAGTTTGATCACATCTGTGTCTTCAGGACGTGGCGTGGGTGGAATCGAAATGAAATGCGCACGGAAAGCCGCTTAGCTGGGAGACAGAAAATATGCGAATAAATTATGTGTGGCCACCTAGCATATACCCACATAAGTTTCGCTAATCCCCACAAGTCTGCCCGGCATATTGGTTCTATGTCTATGCAAGCATCTTTTGTTCGCGATGAAAGTGTTTTCGAAATGAAGAACCACAGGGTCAAACAAAATTAGCACAGCTATTGCATAGCTACCAAAATGATTGCTTGCATTTTGTTAAACTTAGCAGAAGAGCACAGACAATAATAAAAAAAACCAGAAAAAAAAGAAATCAAAATTATCGGGCAAAGAGTGAAAAGTTGAGAGTCAGACGATAGAGAGCGCAGGGCAGAGCAAATGGTTTATAATAAATATGGGGAACTGTCACATTCATGTGATACTTAAAAATACATAACTCAATCACTTTTCTTGTTGAAGGTTACTTCATATTATATACTATAGTCCAACAATATGAATTAAAATTTATTATTAAAATTCATCGTATACTCTTGAAAAGAATTGAAATCGAAAGTTTTCCTTCTTGATATGTTAGTCTGAATCAAATTGAATTAAGATTTGATTTTTTCTTCTATGTAAGTAATGGCAAATAAAAAGTACTCAGTCAGAAGGGGAACTGGTAAACAAACGATAGCTTTTATATGTTTAAATGAGCACGCATTATGGGCTAAAAAAAATATTTACTCAATGTTTGTAAATACATTTTTATGTTCTTGGAGAAAAATGAATTCTATTTAGTGGGTACCATTCAGAATACAACAAATCTGGGATGATAGCTCTTTTCCACCCCATTTTTTGCCATAGTGCCTGAGCTCCCCCGATTTCCCATCGTTGGTGGCTGGCAAAAACCGAAAAAACACCGAGCACAGAACAAAAGCAAAAGCCGTGCACACCAAATAATTATGAACCGGGGACAGAGACATGACAGAGAAATACCGACAGATAAAGAGAAAAAGCAGAGGCAGACAGACAGGTGGTAATATGGGGAATCTGGCGGTGGGTTTAGTCGTGCGCAGGCTGCCAAGTGCGATTTCGAATCGGAAAAAAATGAAATCCCAAATCAGTGCCAGCCGACAAATAGCCGAACTTTTCGGGTTACACATAGAAACATCTGTACGGGGAATTACTATACAGCCAATTAGTCGTTGTGTTTTTGATTTACTAGACGATTTCGAATGGGAATGATCCTTGAACTTGGGACCAAACCGAAAAATTGGATCGACTTCAACGCGTCGAAAAACGTATGTAAGCGAGTTGTTCCAACGTAACAGCGCCAGCGCAACGTAAACAATATGCCATTCGTTCGTTTGGCTCACTCATCTATTTCCCATTTTTACACAGAGAACAATGCATATCAATATTTATTAAAAACATTCGAAGAAATTTAGATAAATTCTGATCAAAATACACGACAACCCAAAGATTTCAGACAAACTGCCCTTAGATAGAGTTTAAAGAATTGATAACCAATTGAACCCATCCTGAGATTTTCGATTTAAAAATGTAATCTGATTTGGTGTCAGCTATCTTTCACTTTTAAATTTTTTTTATACATTTACACATTTACAAAGCCCAAAATTGATTCGTGTTTTAAATCTTTACCTAATCATATTAAAAATATTATTTCAAAATTATAAAATCCTTTTCGCAGTTTAATAAATAAATAAAGAAATGTTAGATTGTTTCTCTGTCTGTATTTCTATTCCCGTTCCCACGTTCATACTCTTTCATATTCGCTCAGTCGCATTCACAGTCGCAGTCCTTGGTGAAACGCGGCGCGTTCGATCGCCAGACGATTATATTATTTTTTGTTTGTGCTAAATTTAAAAATCCGCGTTTATTTTAGTTTTACGGTTACTAACGAGTTCAAAGGCTGGCTGAAAAATCAGTTCGATAAATATAATAAGCAGAGCAGCAGTGTAAGCAACGTGGGAGCTACATATTTTTTTTTTGCCCCGGGGGCAAAGCTTTTTAATTAATTTGCAATCTCTTAACCCGACGTGCAACCATTTTCCAATAATGGCCAAATGCAATTTACCGCTGGAATGGAAAACGGATGGCGGAGAAGAGAAATGGGAACGCTTGCCCAGCATATGTTCGGTGCTCCCAGGGGCGTCCGCCTGTCTCATCTTCATTTACTTTCTCCGCTTTCTCCCCCCATTTCCCAGCTGCCTTCCATCTCCCTCGCTCGGCATCAGCCTGTCCCGCTCTTTGTCTATCTATCTACATTGGCGCTGCTGTCGGCTCTTTTTGTAATTGCTAAATTAATGCAAACGTTGATGATTATCTTAGCCCCTTCGCCATAAACCATGGGGCATATTGATTTATTGGATTTCGAAGCCAGTGCCAAAGTGTTGTGCCATCCGAATGTGTGTGCTGGTGATCCAAATGTGCATATTAAAAAAAAAACTCGACTATAAATACGCCAGAAGTCTGAATGCAAACGTTTAAGCAGAAAGTTTAACTCGTCGAACTGTGAACGACAGGTTTCTAGTGTCAGTTTCTAAGCTCTAAGGAATGCCAAATACAGAATAAATTCAGTTCTGTGAAACACTGAAGAAAAATAATTAACTATAACTACTGTAAATATAAAGAATCGGCTTGGACAAACATAATATATGATGGATAATTAATATTCATTACCCCAAGCAAACATTAAATCAATTAAACAAATATTGAATAATTGGACAGTCTACTGAAATTATAGTGCTTTGTACTTATGCATATGTTGATTGGAATCAGGGAGTTATTTGACAGGAAATGCTTCTTTATTATACGAATTAATAACAATATTGTCTCATTAATTTTATTCTAATAATTAAGAAGACTCTCTTACTCAAGAAATGTTTTTCTTTTTAATGTTAATGTACTTTGTTTTATGGAGTTCCATATTTTTCGGTGCAGAGCTTTTCTTGACTTGGTGTTGTTTGCAGTTTTCAAAGTTGGGTCCCCATGTCTTTAGCCCCTCTGTTTTTGCCAGTTGTCAACAGTTTTTATCTGCATGTGTGCAGTTCCCTCGCATTCCCATTGCTTTATTCCCTGCATTTATCTTGTATTTGTCTTGTCAATCACTTGTTGGCTTTTTGTTGCCGTCCGACGTTAATGTTTTTGGTTCCGCTTTTAGTTCCCGTTATTGACATTGGAGAATTATGTACATATTTATATATTATCGACCTAGTTCAAGCACGCCCATTTCGGTTTATTTTTCTCTCCGTGGGTTTACAATTCAATTTGAAACAAACTTTCTGCAGCCGAATTTCATCTCAACGTTGGCTTTCTCATTTTCTCAGAAAATGAATTTTGTTTGCCTCTAGTTTTCCGTCTGCTCTGGTAAATTTATAGTTGCACTTTTGTTTATGTTTTATGCTGTCTATTTACGCATTTAATTTCGTTTTCGTGTAAATACACAAAACAGCTGAACGACTGCCTGGCAAAGCTCAAAGAAAAGCTGCATCCCCAAACGCCCACCTCCACACAGGGGGAAATACGGACTGAATTTAAATTTAATTTCCAGCATTTTTAGGAAATGCTTTTGTCAATATAAGAGCATGCCAATCTACCAACTTAATGAAGTTTTTGGCTTACATATCTGCATTAGTGTAGTCATCATTTCTCAAACATTTTTAAAATGATAGAGAAAGCAATACATTTTTGTTGAAATTATTGCGTGATTGGTGTAAGGTAGTTTTTGTTTATTGGTATAAGGGCATTGCTCAACTTTTGGCAATATTATTTCGTGACTAACCAGGAAAATGGATGGTGTGGTTTTTTGAGTTGCTATAGGGGAATTGCAAAAATATGTCGAATTGTAATTTAGAAAATTGGAATCTAAATTATTCCTGGTTTTATTTTTATTAGAAACTTTTTGTGAGGTTAATTTGTGGTGATTAACCCATCTAGGTATTCTTGGAACTGTGGAAAATATGGGAATAGAAAAATCGTTAGTTCGAAATAAATAAATTATGCCATTTAATATTGTATGGTTTTGTTTTCCAAATTTCTTTGTCAATCCATTGAACCACCCTACTGCTGATGCATATCCATGACACCCGTGTGGCGATCTGGGCGGGCAGTTCTAGCGACTATTTGCGGGCTTTCGCAACCTTCGCAGTGGCATTGTGCTTGGCGACACACTCGTGATGCAATGCACCCGAAATAGGCGCCCAAGAATAGGAACCGCACTTGCACTCGCACTCGTAATGGACGCAAGTCAACTAACTAACGCTCTTCCCATTCCTCTCCCCTTCCCTCTCCGCAGGTGCAGCGGCCCAACTGCGCCAGAGTGTTGAACGTGCCATTGCGAGAATGCCTTCTCGCGGTCCCACGTCATAGTCACCATCATTAGCACCGGGCGACAGCGGCAACTAGCAACTGGCAACTAGCAACTAGCAACACTCCCAGCAGCAACACCAATTGCATCTGCAGCAGCATCCAGCAAACCAGCAACCAGCAATTATCAAACTAGCAACTAGCAGCACAAATCACAGCCAAATCGAACGCAACAAAGCTTCCAGAGACAGACCAAGAGGAGAGGGCAGTGTGTCCACCCAATCACTTCCAGAACAAGGATAACCAGTAACCACCAGCCATGCAGTTGCTCCTCAAGTCGATCTTCACCTGCGCACTACTAGTGATCTTTGTGTACGCCACCGCCCAGTCGCTGGCCAAAGTCCAGGAGAGCGAGGCGCGGCGGGCGTACCTCAATGGCACCTCCCCCGCCCTGGGCAGTAGTAATCTCAGCCAGGATGGCCACTTCCTCAGCCGGCGACTGAGGCAGGTGGTGCACGGCGAGGAGGGCGAGGAGGGGGCGCCCTCCCAAATGGAGGACGACCTAAGCCAGCTGATGAAGAGCAATGTGGACGCACCGGACAAGGAGGAGCTGCGCAAGTGCAGCGTCGGTCTGGTCCTGCCCGTGTGGACGCCGGAGTACAACATATCCATGGGCGACCGACTCATCCGCGGCTTTGTCTACTTCGTCCTGCTAATCTACCTGTTTGTGGGCGTGTCCATCATTGCGGACCGCTTCATGGCCGCCATCGAGGCCATCACGTCCATCGAACGGGCGGTGGTGGTGAAGGGACCCAACAACGTTAAGCAGGTGATGCACGTGCGCATCTGGAACGAGACGGTGGCCAATCTCACGCTGATGGCCCTCGGATCGAGTGCCCCCGAGATCCTGCTCTCGGTGATCGAGATATACGCGAAGGACTTTGAGAGCGGCGATCTGGGACCGGGCACCATCGTGGGATCCGCCGCCTACAACCTCTTCATGATCATCGCCGTGTGCATGATCTGGATACCGGCGGGCGAGGTGCGCCGGATCCGGCACCTGCGCGTCTTCTTCGTGACCGCCCTCTTCTCGATCTTCGCCTACGTGTGGCTGTGGCTCATCCTGTCCGTGTTCACGCCAGGCGTGATCCAGGTATGGGAGGCGATCGTGACTCTGCTCTTCTTCCCGCTGACCGTGCTGTGGGCATACATCGCCGAGCGGCGGATGCTGGTCTACAAGTACATGGACAAGAACTACCGGGTGAACAAGCGCGGCACCGTGGTGGCCGGCGAGCACGACCAGGTGGAAATGGATGCGGAGAAGGGCCCCAAACACCCGATGGTCACATCTGCGCGCGGCAACGACGCCGAGGCCTTCGACGAGGCCCGTCGCGAGTACATCACTGTGCTGACGGAGCTGCGCCAGAAGTACCCCGACGCCGATCTCGAGCAGCTGGAGATGATGGCCCAGGAGCAGGTGCTGGCGCGGAGCAGCAAGTCGCGCGCCTTCTACCGCATCCAGGCCACTCGCAAGATGGTCGGCAGCGGCAACCTGATGCGCAAGATCCAGGAACGTGCCCACAGCGATCTCACCGAGGTGAAGGCCCAGCTGCACGCCGGCGACGATGAGGAGACGGACGATCCCATCCGGATGTACTTCGAGCCGGGCCACTACACCGTCATGGAGAACTGCGGCGAGTTCGAGGTGCGGGTGGTGCGGCGCGGCGACATCTCCACGTACGCGAGCGTCGAGTACGAGACGCAGGATGGGACCGCCTCCGCCGGAACCGATTTCGTGGGCCGCAAGGGCCTGCTCAGCTTCCCGCCGGGCGTCGACGAGCAGCGCTTCCGCATCGAGGTGATCGACGACGACGTCTTCGAGGAGGACGAGTGCTTCTACATCCGACTCTTCAATCCTTCGGAGGGCGTCAAGCTGGCCGTGCCGATGATAGCCACCGTCATGATCCTGGACGACGACCACGCGGGCATCTTTGCCTTCACGGACTCGGTCTTCGAGATCACCGAGTCCGTTGGCAAATTTGAGCTGAAGGTAATGCGCTACTCCGGCGCCCGCGGCACCGTTATCGTGCCCTACTGGACGGAGAACGAGACGGCCAAGGACTCCAAGGACTACGAGGAGACACGCGGCGAACTCATCTTCGAAAACAATGAATCTGAGTGAGTTTCTCTTTTTAATTAACCCTTTACCACGTCATTTACTTACTGCACCAGCCAGTTAAGCTACCAAAACTGTCATTACATGCATTCCCTTAAATATTTCAGATTAAATGTTAAATATATATTATCTTGATTTTCATAGCCTGATTTAAAGCAGCGATACAAGGGAAAGATAAATCCAGCAAATACTTATCCGTTTATTAGAACTAAGCAATGAGATTGTATAGCTGTGTCGTATGGGGAACTTGTAAACTAAAGTTTCTTTCGTGTTTGAATATTTCGTTTGACCTACATAAGTCTAAACCTGGGAAACAGCGGGTTAAGTTGTTCCTACACATGCATGCCCAAAGTCCCGGGACTTTGCTCCGTCCCCCCGATTCCGGCGATATATACCGACGCCCGATGTCACGCAATGTGCGACTCCCGACGGAGTATTTCAGCAAAACTCGCAATTTCCGTTTTGGGAATAGATAGGCGGTATGTGCGTGAGGCAGAGCGCTGCGAATCGATTAAAGTTGGAATAATTGGGACTTTTAATTGCCACACCAGCTGCCAGATGGCAGTGGCAGTGGCCGGGAGCGGGGTTTTTGTGTGCCACTCTGAAAAATGGCAAACTCTGCGTAGTCATCGCATTGGCTTCTTTTCCCGAGCAGCACCTGACCCCCAACTCCCACCGCAAATCCATTATGGCCAAGCGTGTGTGTGTGGGTATATCCTGCTGGGTGCCCGTGGCCCAATTTTTCTGGCCGCGTGCTCGGCGACAACAGACATCCAGACATCCCTTCCAGACATTAACACCCTGCCGGCGAGAACAGCTCGAAACAAGGCTGGCTGTAATTAATTTTGCAAAATTTATTCATTTTGACAAACATTTGGCAGACGACAGCCGCACTCAGTTAACTGCGTTTGCATATGTTTTTGTGGCTTTCATGGCCATGTCCGAAATGTCGGGCGACACGCAACGTGGCCACATATATGTATATAAGGGGTGTGGTTGGCCCGGTTATAGGCCGGCTTTTTAAGATGATTTATGGCCCGAGAAAATGCCCAGCATATGCCGGGAATTAGGCGGTCGAAAATCTGGGAAATGGCTTCAATTTGATGGGCACTAATCATGATTTACTTACTGACTTAATTAGCGCATAGACAGGACCTCTTACACTGGGAGAAAAAAAGAGAAACCAGGTTCCTTTATATTAAGTATAATGTTATTAACCGCATATAGTACAGACAAATATAATAACAAAATTAATTATGAATACCAGCCAGATCTACAATATCAACTGAAAGCGTCATATTGCGATACAAGCAATAAAAGATATTCTTTATTTTAGAAGACATTTCAATGCCACTGTATTAAATGTTGTTTATAATGTAAGCAGTTTTTCTGGGAATTTTGTCTGTATATTATTCCTGAGACTCCACTGCACAAAGCCTCATTAATGGGCGACCCGCCCTGGTTTTTTTGTGACTCCCCAAGGCAGTTTCGCGTAAAATTGTTTCAAACACGTCGCCACAGACATAACATGAATTTTTGAGGATTTCTGCATTATTAAGTGGTAACGAAAGCGGAGCGGGCAATTAGAGGACGGCACGTTGTTGTTGGGCTGCCGGCGTGAACGTCAACGGGGGAAAACTTACAGGAATAAAGTGGCAACTTGCGGCATGTGAAGATGTCGTGCCATGGCAATGCGATGGCAATGGCGATGGCGATGTGTCCGGGTGAAACGCTCCCAAAGTGCTCGTTAAGTCAGTGCTTAAGCCGTTCACCCATTTGCCACGACAGTTGGAATACTTTTTAATGTTTGTGTTCCGTCCGGATGGATGCAATTGCTGCCTTTGCTGCCTTTGCCCTATTTGTCTCGCAATTATTTGCCAACTTTTGAAACGTTTCATTGTCGCCAGTGCCCGAATAAATTTCCTGCCTCTCCGCTGAGTAAGTGCACGTCCGTAGCGATCCTTGCAGGCCTTTTGTGGCATTTACAGCCACTCAAGTTGAATGCCTTGCGGTGCCGTTGGTAATAATGTTTGTTTTAATGTTGCCAGTTTCGCTGGCGAACTGCCAGCCAAGTAACCACGGCCCTACTCCCACACATCGATGACGATCTCGGGGGCATCTTGGCCCTGTCCCCCGACGGAAATGCCATAAACTAGCTACCACAATTAAGCGAGTTTTGATGTATTTTTAAATGGCTCTTAAAGAGTGGCCTCTTTAAGGAGACACGAGAAAAGAAAATATAAGAAAGCGGTGAGCAAAATAAAATTGCTGGCAAATCCACTTTGAAGTCGATGCGTGCGGCTGTGGCAACCACTTTCTGCGCTCTTCTCTTTAATGAAAATCAAAACCCGCCTCTGCCACTCACATATAGATATGGCGGAAATGCGCAACAGCAGCAGCCATGTAGTCATGCCGTCATAAAAAACAGCACCAGCAGCAGTAGTCGGTAATGCCATAAAATTCCTCAACGAAACTGGCAAAAAATATAAAGAGAAAAAGAAGTGGGCTGAGCGGTTGGGCTACAAAATGCCAACACTGATGCATAAATTTGTATAATCTGCTGGGGCCGGAGTGGGCACATTCGGATTGAGTTATAGGACCTTAAATAACCGACTCTTGCAGCGTGCTACGTGAATTAAAAAGAGGCCAAAATCCATAGCCTACTTTTCTGGGCCGCATTTAAGATAAGCCCCACGGGGAGGAGCAACGTTTCCATTAGTTAAACCAGACAGGTTTTTCAGCAACTTTACTGTGCCTGGCATTTGTTAATTAGCCACAATTTAGGTGGCTTGCCACATGGCCTAAATGCTGTTCCCTAGAGAGGAACTTAGAAAGAGAGAGACTGGCAAATATAAGATTCTCTTTTGGGCGCCTTAAAGACATTCCGTTTCCCCCGACTTGTCCAGGTTTTCATAGACAATCCCGTGTGAGCACCGCAAATTGGAAGCTTTGAGCACATAAAAGTCAAGCATAAAATATGCAAAAAGCACCGGAGAGAAAAAGTACAGATAAGAGCAAATATTTTATTAAGCACACATAATCTAAAATTGAAATTTATGCTATTTCCGACGAAGTATTTGTGAAATCCAACCAACTTACAAGATATCATCGTGGTGTGCGTGCGGCTTTTGCTTTCACTTTCCGTGTAGCATTTCCTGTGGCCGGCGGGGAATTTCCCGGAACAGGCCAGCTGCTTAACTGACTGACAAGTAAGCGGAGTCTGCCTCCAAGTGCTTGTCCTGGTCCATCCTCCCATCCTCCCATACATCCATCCCCGTATCTGTTTTGCGGCAAGCTGCCTAACTGCCAGCCGTTTCCCATCCATGTGAGCGTGAAGAGGAGCACACAACCGCAATGGCCTCCAGTAAGCCCGTTTGCAAGGCACTCAGGCACTACTCCCTGAATCCCGACTCGGTTGTCAGGAGTCTGCCAACCTGAGAACCCGATCCGCAAGGAGCCAATTCCTTGTGGGAATATTACTGGACAGTGATGCCAGAGTTGGGTCGCAAACATTAGATATGCTACTTTAAATATGCTCAGCAATGTATTAATAGTAAAAACAAAGGCTTTAGCCCTAAAACACATTTTATTCTTGTTTACTGAAATCTATAACATCTAAAATTCAGTCAAAATATAACAAATATTATTTTTTAATTTTAAGAACAAAGTTAGTAACAATGAATAGATACATTTGAAGAATACCTCTCTTGCATTGATAAATAGTAGTAGTCAACTTCAGTAGTCTAAAACTTGCTTTGAATTTGTCTTTCTAATCATGCTAATTACTACAAAAACAAAAAATGTTTAATAGAGTATTAATGGCCTGCAATTTAAATAGAGAATATATTATTATATATCCACATTTGACTGTAAAATATCTAAGATGGCAGCACTGCGCCACTTACTGATAGGACAAAGAACAAACACAGGATTTGGGTTGAGTTTGTGTGCCTTTTAAACCGCCCACAAACACACAAAGTTATTTACGGCTTACATAATTTTCCAAGTCGAGTTACATTCCTGTGGATTACACAAGGGGTATCTACAATTCGATCGGACCGATTGCGATGGTAGGCCAAAGTTTCTTATTTGCGATTCAATTTGCTTTGGGGCTGAGCTGGGGTCCCAGTTCTTGGAACGGTATATAAATTACAGACGGTCGGCAACAGGCGGCAAATTGTCCGTCCGCTCCTCCTAGCCAATGTCAATCGGTTGTTTGTGCTGTTGTTGCCGCTGATTCTGGGGCATCTCATGTTTATCTGGATGTCGTTAGCATGAACTGTTCTTTCTGGGTTCGCCCCTGTTTCCCTGGTTCATCAGGTCCCTTTATTTTGGTTACTTCTGCTTGTTGTTATTATTATTATGACATCAACAGGAAAAACAAGGGCTGGCGAACTTAATCATCACCATTGGTGCTGGCACCGAGATGAACATCCTCTCGGGAACTGCCGGCATCTGTTGCTCAAAGGGGTTTAGGTTTACGGTTACCCCAAAAAGGAGGTCCTGGTTTCCCAAGCTAACCACTCACCTTGCCAACGGCTCTGAGTTCGATTTAGGGCTCTTTAAAACTCGTTGAACTGCCAAGTAAAAGTAATAAAATTGCGATTTGCTCCTGTAATTGCAACACAAATTGAATGAAACCATCTCGCACCTAGGGAAAGTTTTCTAATAAGCAAAAGTGCTGCTGAAGCAGCATTAAATTTGGAAAGCAATTTCGCTGGCTTAAGTACTTTCGGCAGCGTCAATTATAAGATGTTTATTCTTGCCAAATGCCAGGTTACCGCCCTTTTATTTTAGAGCACAATTAAAATACTTTCGAGTAAGAAATATATTTTTGTAAATCTTGATTATCGATTCTGAAGCTTTACATTTGCCAATGTCAAGTGAAACAGGTGCATAGAAGGCACTGTGTTTGTGGCATCTCAGTTTGCGACATCTCAGTTTGCGGCTGATTTATGTATGTCAACTTACAACTCAATAAACCGGCAGCCAGCTGAAAGTG